AGTAGCTGGAACTACAGGCATGTGCCCCCACACCTTGCTAATTTTTTCTTTTTTTTTTTTAAAGACGGGGTTTCACCATATTGGTCAGGCTCGTCTCAAACTCCTGACCTCAGGTGATCCGCCTGCCTCAGCCTCCCAAAGTGCTGGGATTACAGGTATAAGCCACCGCGCCCAGCTACGCATAGCTAATTTTTTGTATTTTTTAGTAGAGATGGGGTTTTACCATATTGGTCTGGATGGTCTTGATCTCTTGACCTCATGATCTGCCCGCTTCAGCTTCCCAAAGTATTGGAATTACAGGCGTGAGCCATCTCATCCGGCCTCCTATTTTCATTTCTTTTTTTTTTTTTTTTGAGACAGAGTTTCGCTCTTGTTACCCAGGCTGGAGTGCAATGGCGCGATCTCGGCTCACCGCAACCTCCACCTCCTGGGTTCAGGCAATTCTCCTGCCTCAGCCTCCTGAGTAGCTGGGATTACAGGCATGCGCCACCATGCCCAGCTAATTTTTTGTATTTTTAGTAGAGACGGGGTTTCACCATTTTGACCAGGATGGTCTCGATCTCTTGACCTCGTGATCCACCTGCCTCGGCCTCCCAAAGTGCTGGGATTACAGGCGTGAGCCACCGCGCCCAGCCCTATTTTCATTTCTTAAACATTGATGTCTACACTGTTGTGGGTGCTGATTACTAAGAATAAAACCAACTGCTACCTTTAAAGGGCCTTCTGGTCCACTCTGTTTCAGACTTTTGCATGTGAGTTTTACACACACACATACAAGCCTTCTTTCAAATTATATATATAAACAAAAGTAAAACCATAGTATAAACATGAAATTGGAACCATTCTGTGAAAGAAATCAGACATGAAAGAATATATATTTGCTTGAGCCCAGGAGTTTGAGACCAGCATGAGCAACATAGGAAGACCTTGCTTCTATTAAAAATAAAATTATCTCATGAGACTACCACAAGGAAAAGAAAAAAATTAAGTTAAATTAAATTTTAAAAAATTACCTGGGTGTGCGTCTTGCACGTGTAAGTTCCCAGCTACAAAGGAGGTCGAGCAAACGAATCCCTAAATCCAAGAGTTTGAGGTTGCAGTGAGCCATAATCCCACCACTGCACTCCAGACTCTAGCCTGGCAACAAAGCAAGACCCTGTCTCAAAAAAACAGAAAAAAAAAGTAGAAATTGTATAATTCCAGATGAGCAGCAGCAGCTGGGATGGGAATTTGGTAGAAATGCAGATTACCAGGCTCCGCCCCATAC